TGAGAAAAGAGAAAATTGTAATCTATATGGTTCAACAACTTGGCTTAAGCCAATATAAACATAAAATAATTAAAAGAGGAATTTGAACGTATTATTTTGCTTCATCATATCTAAGCTATATAAAGCTTAAAAAAAGTATGAAGTTAGAAATGAAAAGTTTTCTAAAATTATGCAAATAGAAAATTTAGCTATGTAATAGAAAGAAATTATCTAGATTTAAATAGATGGGAAGGTATTATTAAAATAATTTAATAAATTATAGGTCAGCATTACCCAAATCATATTGAAAATGTGAACCAATTTAATAATACATAAAGGAAGAAATATATAGGTTTGCATTTCTCCACAAAACATAATGACCGAATTGATTTCTTCATGTTTTCCACTACTCTTTTGTTAATAAAAAAGCCTCTATATGTAAATGAAGGATATTGAATAAGTATATAATGTCCTATACCAGAAGAAAATTTTTATAACATTTAACAGAGAAAAAACATTGTATGAATGAATCAAATATGGAAAAGCAAGATACACTAAAATATTATTAGGCTAAAAAATAAAATTTGTATTTCTACAACTTGTTTATATTCTGCCTTAGAACTACTTTTCATTATCATAATGAATTTATGCTGAATTATCCTTGAATGCATAAATGTATTTATTTAGAATATATAGATCACAGGCATTCAATGAAACGCTGAAAGTAATCAAGGTCTTCAAGAAAGATATAATCTAGTAGAAAGTTTAAGGCATATCTACAAAGATCCGTATCTTTATAACTAAGTTTGGTGCCTTTCTTAAAAGATATATTTTGTCATTAAGTCATAAAAAATGGTTGTATACACGTGTTTAGTGCAGTCAGAAGTTCTGTTATGTTAATGGCATTTGATCTTAGTCTTGCCTTAATGAAACAGCAGGAATTTGACATGCAGAGATGGAAATAAGGAAGCCAGGATTTTAACCAAATGAAATGAAATCAGCATATGAAAGAATTATCTGCACACCCATTAATACATCATTACTATGAATCATATTAATATTATCTACATTTTACAGGCTAGAAAACTAGGTTAGAAATTAAGTAAATTGGTTAAGATGATGTAGCTACTGGGGCAGCACTTTGGCATAGCAGGTAAAGTTGCCACCTGCAATGCTGGCATCCTATAAGAGTGCTGGTTCAAGTCCCGGATGCTCCACTTCCAATCCAGCTCTCTGCTGTGGACTGGGAAAGCAATAAAAGATGGCCCAAATCCTTGGGGCCTTGCACCCACATGGGAGACCTGGAAGAAGTTCCTGGCTCCTGGCTTCAGATTGGTACAGCTCCAGCCGCTGTGGCCAATTGGAGAGTGAACCATCAGATGGAAGACCATTCTCTCTCTCTCTCTCTCTCCCCTTCTCTCTCTGTATAACTCTTTCAAATAAAAAAAAAAATAAATCTTAAAAGAAAGATGATATAGCTACCAAGTAAAAAGAACTGGATTCAAATACACAGTGTTTTATAGTGTTTGAGAAAGTAAGCTGAGAACATATTGAGCAGGTTATTGAATGTTATAATGATATATTTGTTTTTAATTTGGGTACAATGGTGTACCAATGTTAATTTTAAGAACAGAGTATAACATAATCAAAACTGTGCACTAGGGAAATACATTTGGCCTAGCAGTTAAACTGCTGGTAAAACACACTTGTGTCTTACACTGGAGTACCTGACTCCAGCTTCCTGCTAATGCTGACCCTTGGAGTTAACAGTGATGGTCAAGTAGTTGGATTCCAGTCACCCATGTGGAAGTCTTGGGTTGAGTTCAGAGCTCCCGATTTGGGTCTCAGCCCTGGGCCACTGTGTGCATTTTTGTGGTGAATCAGTTGATAGGATTTTGTCTCTCTTTCTCTCAACAAAAGAACAAATTGAAAAAAGAAAAAAAATAACAATACCCAGTGAATTAAGAATGTCAAGTCAGATATAATATACAGGATATTGACAGGTAAGTATAATTTAGTAGCAAGGATAAATTTCCCATTTAACTTTCTAAATCGCCTTTTTTCCTTATTTTATAAGTGGCACAGTATAATTTATGCTAGATGAGAAAATAAAGTATAAGTATTAATTGTACATTACACAGTTGGTGATAATCTGGAATGAATTTGGAAAGGAATCAGGTGAAAGGAGAAAACTATCTTTATTCCTATGTAGATCAATGTATTTCTAAAAGGAAGAATGGCCCCATGTGACAAAATTCTTACTGGAAGCAAAGGTTATTAAGAGAAAAAAAAGCCCTTACTCAGAGGTCTTCCCAATAAACTCTACTATAGGTCCTCACTTAGGTTCTATGTGTTAAATAGAGATTTTAATTAATCTCATTTTTAATTATAAAGAAGGTAACCCGTATGATGAGAATCCATATCCAGGGGTCAGTTCAGTTTCTAAGTGTAGCCAGCAGGAACTAATTTAGTTACAGAAACATTTTATAAACTCAAACCTATCCCTCTATGTTTTAATTGGTAATATTTGCATTTAAACTTAAGATACTGGCTGATTTTAAAAATGTTTCAAAGAACTCTACTAAGAGACTATTGGAACTCATAGAAGAGTTTGGCAAAGTAGCAGGATATAAAATCAATGCACAAAAATCAACAGCATTTGTATACACAGGCAATGCCACAGCTGAGAAAGAACTGCTAAGATCAATCCCATTCACAATAGCTACAAAAACAATCAAATACCTTGGAATAAACTTAACAAGAACGTCAAAGATCTCTACGATGAGAATTACAAAATCTTAAAGAAAGAAATAGAAGAGGATACAAAAAAATGGAAAAATCTTCCATGCTCATGGATTGGAAAAATCAATATCTTCAAAATGTCCATTCTCCCAAAAGCAATTTATAGATTCAATGCAATACCAATCAAAATACCAAAGACATTCTTCTCAGATCTGGAAAAAAATGATGCTGAAATTCATATGGAGGCAAAAGAGACCTTGAATAGCTAAAGCAATCTTGTATAACAAAAACAAAGCCAGAGGCATCACAATACCAGATTTCAGGACATACTACAGGGCAGTTATAATCAAAACAGCATGGTACTGGTACAGAAGCAGATCGATAGACCAATGGAACAGAATAGAAACACCAGAAACCAATGCAAACATCTACAGCCAACTTATATTTGATCAAGGATTGAAAACCAATTCCTGGAGCAAGGACAGTCTATTCAACAAATGGTGCTAGGAAAACTGGATTTCCACATGCAGAAGTATGAAGCAAGACCCCTACCTTACACCTTACACAAAAATCCACTCAATGTGGATTAAAGAGCTAAATCTATGACCTGACACCATCAAATTATTAGAGAACATTGGAGAAACTCTGCAAGATATAGGTACCGGCAAAGACTTCTTGGAATAGACCCAGAGGCATAGGCAGTCAAAACCAAAATTAACAATTGAGATTACATCAAATTGAGAAGTTTATGTACTGCAAAAGAAACAGTCAGGAAAGTGAAGAGGCAACCGACAGAATGGAAGAAAATATTTGCAAATAATGTAACAAGTAAAGGGTTAATAACCAGAATCTACAAAGAGATCAAGAAACTCCACAACATCAAAACAAAGAAGCCACTTAAGAGATGAGCCAAGGACCTCAATAGACATTTTTCAAAAGAGGAAATCCAAATGGCCAACAGACACATGAAAAAATGTTCAGGATCACTTGCAATCAGGGAAATGCAAATCAAAACCACAATGAGGTTTCACCTCACCCCGGTTAGAATGACTTACATACAGAAATCAACTAACAACAGATGCTGGAGAGGATGTGGGGGAAAAGGCATACTAATCCACTGTCGGTGGGAATGCAAGCTGGTCAAGCCACTATGGAAGTCAGTCTGGAGATTGCTCAGAAACCTGAATATAACCCTACCATACAATCCAGCCATCCCACTCCTTGGAATTTACCCAAAGGAAATTAAATTGGCAAATAAAAGATCTGTCTGCACCTCAATGTTTATTCCAGCTCAATTCACAAAAGCTAAGACCTGGAATCCACCTAAATGTCCATCAAAACTAGACTGGATAAAGAAATTTTGGGACATGTACTCTATAGAATACTATACAGCATTAAAAAAAATGGAATACATTCATTTGCCACAAAATGAGGAAACTGGAAAACAATGCTGATTGAAATAAGGCAGTCCCAAAGGGACAAATATCATATGTTTTCTCTGATCAGTGACAACTAACTGAGCACCTAAAAGGAAAACTATTGAAGTGAAATGGACACCATGAGAAACAATGTCTTGATCAGCCCTTGTCCTGACTGTCAAGGAACAACTTACTATTTTATTCTTTTTAGTATTTTCTTGTTCTACTTAATACCATTGGTTGAACTCTTTAATTAACACACAATTATTCTTAGGTGTTTAAATTTACCTGAAAAGTGATCCCTGGTAAATATAAGAGTGGGAATAAGAGAGGGAGGAGATGTATATTTATTTAATAAAAGTTGGGTGGGCCTTGTGGGCACAGGTTCAAGTTCTAGCTACTCCACTTCTGCTCCAGCTCCTTGCTAAATGTGCCTGGAAAGGCAGTGGTAGATGGCTCAACTGCTTGGGCCCTTGACACATGCGTGGGAGACCCAGGTGGAGCTCCTGGCTCCTGGCTTCCTTCTGGCCCAGCTGTGGCCATAGCAGTCATTTGGGGAGTGAGTAAATGGAAGACATTTCTCTCTGCCTCTGCCTCTGCCTCTCCCTCTCACTCTCCCTCTCTGTAACTCTGACGTTAAAATAAATAAATAAATATTTTAAAAAAAGAAAAAAAAGAAAGCATGTAATTGCATAAATTAAAGAGAAAAATAAGCAAGGAAGGAGAAGGGAGGATGGGAGCAAGAGAGGGAAGGAAGAGGGGAAGTATCATTATGTTCTTAAAACTGTATATATGTAATTGTGAAATCTGTTTCATTTGTATAAATAAATTAAAAATTATAATAGAAGAGAGAAATGGAATGGTCCCTGGGTGAGAAAATTGGTTTAAACAAGGTTATTCTCAATCATCTTAAGATGTTCTGTGCTTTGGTAAAGTGATAAGTATAAATACACAACCGATCAAAAAGATAGGGTAAGTGTCGAAAGGATTTTACAAACAAGACCGGTGTAAGCAAATAATGAAGGATAGAATTAAAAGGGAGAGAATGATCCTGCAGGGAAAGCAGGGCACACAGCAGACTCATAGAATGGCAAACATCCACAACAGCACTCCGGCCTCAGAATCAACCCTTGGGGCATTCGGATCTTGCTAAAAGGCCCATGAGAGTCTCACAGGCATGGAAATCCACGACATGGTGGCAAAAACAATCTAAATGAAAGATCCTGGTGAACAAGACCTCAGCGGAAGGAACAGGCCATCAAGGAGGGAGGCGCCTTTCTCTGAAGGGAGGAAGGAACCTCCACTGTGATATGGCCTTGACTAAACAAATTCAGAGTTGGTGAACTCAAGGGGCTTCCATAGCCTAGACAGCTCAGGGCAAGAGCCTCGGGTGATTGCTGACGTCATAAATAAGAGTGCCAATTGTTAAATCAACAATGGGAGTCACTGGGTACAGGCTCCCCACGTAGGATCTCTGTCCTTAATGTGTTTTACTATGAAACTTAAAGACAACACTACTAGTTGAACAATACCCTATACCTTGTGTGGTTATGTGAGGGCAGCCTGTTGAAATCCTTGCTTAGTATATACTAAGTTGATCTTCAGTATATGAAGGTAATTGAAAATGAAACTCAATGAAGGGTGGGATGGGAGAGGGGAGGGCCACGGGAGGGAGGGAGGCTGGGGGAGGGGAAGCCACAACAATACAAAAGTTGCACTTTGTAAATTCACATTTATATAAAAAAAAGAAGAATACATAGGATATCTGATACAAGTAAACCCTGAATTGCCAGGTTTATGAATCAATAAATGGGCTTATTATTTAAAAAAGAAATGTTCTGTGCTAATGAAAGTGATCTACTAGAAAAGAAGGCATTAGTGATTCAAGGACTCAGGACAATTGTGTGACTCCAATGCTTGAACAGGTAAAGAGAATATGGGATTGGTACACAAATGCAGATTGGCCTTCGACAGCAGAAATGTTAGTTTACTCTTTAATACAAATAACAGGAAGATGGAGTAATTGGTTCTACATTCACAGTGAATGACGGATTTCATGGAATCGTACTAGAATGTTCTTTTTTAATTGATTCTATTTTCTCAGAGAAATTGAAATTATATCTGTACCTTAGAATAAGGAAGTAGAAGGTAGATATATGAAAACTCGTTTTCTAGAGGAAAGAAAAAGGAAAGGTCGCTTAACCTACCTCACTGCTTTCTGACAGGGCTGTCAAAGCATGGAAACATACAACCTGTATTGACGATCCCAATTTTCTGCTTTGCTATTATAAGGGCTGATAAGTATTCTGAATAAACAATGATACTGATATACCAAATTGCTGGGTACTTTATCAGATTTATTCTTTGTAACTTAATGGTATGTTGCTCTAAATATCCAAGGCTTAAATTTACAATTTATCTAAGAATTTTGCCAGGATTATATCTCATAAAAGGCCGAGAGTTTGAGCTGTATGAGTCCCAGTGCTAAGAAACGCGCACACACATTTAAAAGGAAATCAACACAACACATTTTCTCTTCTCAGGACTAAAGTGACCCAAGGGAGCTTGACTGGGGAAATGCAGAATGTGAGTCATTGCTGTGAAGGGCAAGTATGGGCTGGGGGGTGGGGGGTGGGGTATGCCCAAGGGCATTCTCCATCCGCTGTTATTACTCCAGATGTTTTTGATCCCTGTTGATTCCAATTGATATACAGAATGCCTTGAAGGCTCTCTAATTTTTTTCTTGTAAGAAAAGGCAAAATTATTCTGTCTACTCAGTTTTTAAGGTTTTTTTTTCCCTGAGGATTACAATAGCTATATACTCCTACATTTTTCCCAAATAAAACAATGCAAACATTATATACATATCAATATGCTTGCCTCATCAATTTAACAACTCATAATTTCTATGAATTTCTTTTCTTCACATAGATTTATACAATTTTAAAGTAAGGTAGAGATTTAATTATAGAGCATGATATAATTTGCCAAATATTCTAAATTGAGTGCTTTCAACTAATAATTTAGTAACCATTCTAAAAAACAAAAATTAAATATCATGATGGGAAGTTGTTGGGCCAAGAGTGTGGCCTAGTGGTTACACTGTGGGTTAAAATGTTTCTGTCCTATGTCAGAGTGACTAAGTTCAAGTCTTGATCTACTCCCAGTTAATTCCAGCTTTCTGATAATGCACACCCTGGGAGGCAATGGTGATGGCCCAAATAATTAGTTTGTTGCCATCCCTGTAGGAGACTTGCACTAAATTACTGGCTTCTGGTTTCAGTCCTTGTTAGGGGCTGTTGTAGGCATCTGGGGTGTGAACCAGAAGGTGCGTTTTCTTTCTCTTCCTCTCCCTCTTCCTCTCTTTCTCCCTCTCTCCATCTCTCCCTCATAAACAGAAGAAAAATAAAACTGTGCTTATCTGTTCATAAAGAAAATGTTTGTAAATTTTCAAATCTAGAGTATATAAATATTACACTATAAAAAAAAACAACTCTCCATACTCTAACACAGATAACCTCAGCTAGATTGCAGTGGGGATAACAATTATAAGAGGGAAGGGAAGACGTACATTCTTTCAATATCTAGTATTTTCTTAGACTACGTGTAAACAAAAGGCGCCAAGACACATAAAATGCCATGGTTGTATTTTTAATCAATCTTGCAACTTTGTTGCTGAAAAAAAGATTGGATGTCAAGAAAGGTGCTAGACTGTGAAGATGATGTTCCCTAGCAAAAAAAAAAAAAAAAAAAACACAAAGCCTACAGAATATTCATGAGGAGTTTTTACACCTCAACCCTGGCAAACTTATTAACAGTATTTGAGTAGGAAAAAAAATGTGTGTTTTGTAATTTGTGTAATGGAAAGTCCTTCAGAAATTCTTGCCCTATCCTGCCAGGGAATGTGATTTGCAACTTAGTGATGGATCAGGGAAGATGTGGGATGGAAACACTCCATAGAATAGAAAAATGATTTCAATGGCCAGGCTCCCTGGCCATGATTTCCGAGGCAGCCTGACAAGCCCCAGACTCTCTTCAGAACAGAGACTTGGGCAATATAGTCTCAGGACAGATCAGGGAGATTGCTCTATGGCTGCATTTGTACAGCAAGCCCACAGCCCTCATGAAGGTTTATGCGTACCTGAGAGGAAGGCCTTGCTAGGGAGGCTACCCCTATGGAAATTCTGCCTAGCCTCACAAACAACACTATGATGTCAACCCCATGCCACAACCTGAGTCAGCCCTGAATTAGAGGACAAAATTGACCTAATATCTCAGTCTCCTTTGAATCTGTGGCAGGCTTCTTGCTCTCCATTTTCTGATTCTCATTATCCAACACCTTTATTTTGCTTCCCAAATGTTAAAGAAATTGCTAAAGGCATCCCAAGGACATTTACCAAGCACATTCTCTGTTTCAGGCATGCAGCCAGTTTCCTGCCACTTACTGCTTACCAGAGTGTGCACCATTTCATCACACATGTAAGACAAGGGAAACATCAATAGATCTGTGTTACTGTACGAGCGCTGATCTACCGGGCTCACTTCCGGCCAAAAGCCTCTCATACACCATCACATCTCAAAGTACCACTCACACTTAACGCTCAATTAAATGATAGGCTGGGGAGGAGCTAGAGCTTTGGACTATTCAAAAATACTAAAAACAGTGAATGGTGAATTTTCACACATCAGTCATTTTGGAGGAAGCCATTCTTAGTGAGATGGTATACTGAAACAGATCTGAGTCACCAGCTTCATCATTTAGGAAGATTACTAAGGCATAACATGTTACCCTTCATTAGCATATTTATATTTTAATACTAGATACTGTTTAAGAGATGAAAAGGAAGAACAGTCCAATACCTGAGATACTAGCAGCACTGAGTGAGTGGTGCTAAGATGGCTGATACTCAAAGTATGGCACAGAATTTGTCCCCCACTGTCCTTTTTAACCCACAAGCAGATCCAGCCCTGTCAGCAGCCATGAGTGATTCCCCCACCTTCCAAAAGAAAATTTAGAACTATTTACTTTTAGTTGGAAAATTGCCCCTAGTTTTTGAAGCAGTATCCATAGGAACTTAGATTTAATTCCTTTTTTGCCTTTAAAGAAATTGAAGGAAAGAAAACAGCAAGCAATATGAACCCACTTCCAATCAATCCATACCCATAGCTGTGCTTTTCTGGATTACACAGGTATTATTCCTTCTTTCAATTAAGAGTTCCAGTGCTTAAACAGTCTTCTCGACCTTAGTTCCTCAAACCAATGAAAAACAAAATATAATCTGTAATAAAATCCTGCCAGTAATTTAATGGGCTTCCTTCCCTCATTGCTCATGCTACCCCTTAGCAAGGGGGTACACTCTCTTTTCCAGGGCACCATTTGTTGCACTGAGCCTGCAATGATGAACATAAAATTATTTATTGTTCTTTGTTTTGCTGTTGCTTCAATGCAATCCGTAGACTTGCTGGTAGATAGGACACTAAAAAGTACAGTCCAATGAGACTAAATATAATAAATGAAAATGCCAAGAATTCACAACTTAAACACCACTTGGTATTTCTTTTATATTTATACATTCTGTACAAGACAGCTTTCAGTCCTAAATGTCTACATTCAACACATATTATTTCAAATCAGCCTAATAAAGTTAAAAGGAAGAAAGCTAATTTTTTAAAAGTAATTTTTCAGATTTAACAAGTCAGTCTTAAAACTCCTTTCTCAAAAAAGTAGATATACAAATTTTACTGTGTACCTATAAGTGGTTATTTTTAACATTTTTAAATGGCAAGTCTTAATTAGAAAATAACTAACATTTGATGTGTTTTATTCTAAAATAATGAACAATGCCTCATGACATGTATATTCTAGTATATATCTTTCTATGGTATCAAGCAATTCAAGTATCCATATTAATATCAAAGTTACTGTTTAAAATATATTTTGCAGATTTTATTTCAGAAATTATATTTATTTTTAATAAAAAAAGACACAGTATAACTATACACTTGGATTACACTGTCCCTGAAATTCCTCCCAAGTCTGAAACAACTGATGCTATATTTCAGTATCAGTATCAGGGTCTATCTAGCTTCCCATAGCATGACTTGTTCTTGACAAACTACATTGTTCTTTCCTATTCAATCCTGAATGTCTTCTACATATCCATGGTCTTGGGCCAGCCCAAGTACATTCTCATTACCCCACACTTCCCAGATGGTGAGACTCCTGGAATTGGAAGGGATATCAGGCTGTAGAGTCCAGAAGGGTTGAACAGCAGGGAAAAGAAGAGGGATCAATCTCAGCAGCAGTTAATTGAAAGGAAGAATAGAGGTGGCAGCATTGTGATGCATCAGGTTAAGCTGCTACCTTGGACACTGGCATCCCATAGGAGCACTGATTCTAGTCCTGGCTGCTCCACTTTCAATCCAGCTATCTGCTAATGTACCTGGAAAAACAGAAGAAGATGGCCCAAGTGCCTGGGCCCCTGCCACACATGTGGGAGATCAGGATAGAAATACTGGCTCCTGACTTGGCCTGGCCCAACCTTAGTCATTGTGGGCATTTGGGAAGTAAAGATGGAAGATCAATTCTCTCTCTCTTTCTCTCTCAACTCTGTTATTTCAAATAAATATATATGTCTTTTTCAAACAATGAAGAATAGAAAAGCTTCAAAATAGACTCAATGTATAACTTTTTCCCAATATTTGTCATGCATAGCAACACTATAAAAAACACTAATAAAATTTCCAAAAGATTTTTAAACTATGCATTGATGGATGTTTACATGTAATAGAAGCCAAAAATATCCTCTACTTTATTTGTTGTAAATTTGAAAAAAAAAAAAAAGCTACAACAAATCTAACAGTTTTCTTCTTGAATTGTTCCAGTACATTCGTTCAAGTAGCCCTATAACTTTTGAGCTAGCCAAAGTTTGTTGCAGGCTTATATGCATCTTTCTAGCTACATAATTTCCTTATAAATCACATCATTTTCCCATGGAAATTATTTAGTTTTCAAATGCTGTAGGCCAAGACTTTCCTCAAGCTAAGGACCCAGAGATAAAGGGATGTGTATTATCTACGATCAATACAAGACTCATCCAATTCCCTTGAAGTAGAATGGCATTACAATGTACCACTGCTGTTTGGTTAACACCCCATTATTGTCTGATAACCTATCTGTCTTGAAAAGCACAAGTGCTTCCATGGAACCGTAGGTTTTATTACATTATACTCTTCCTGTGTATCACAACAATATTGTGTAGATCAATAGAAACAGCAAAGAACAAGACTTTCCTCCTTTAGTTCATCAATATTTTAAATCAAATTCTCAGTGGTAGAACAAAAAAGGAACATATAACTTGACCTAATATTTCTCAAGGGTTGCCTCCTTCCCCAGTAAATACAACTTCATAAACCAAATCAGTAATGTAAAGAAATAAACTAAGATGTACAAGAATGTTTCTTTCTGATTTTTGTATATCAACATGTTTTCTAAATAATTAACCACAGTATCTCAGGGAAATGGCTGAACATAACAAGGGCTATGTGTACAGGGACCAAACAGCAACAGCTTGCAGAGCAAATCC